ATTAACGTATACAAATCGTCAAACGGCGAATAATACATGACTGCTACCTAGAGCAAGAAACAATTGAGCGTTTATACAACAACTTCATAAGTTTCTCTTCACTTGTAGTACATCAAATTGGCTTTTTTCTCAAGAAAAATATCAAACCTGCAGATAGATAAAAAATCACTAATTTCGCCTTTATCATCAGCATTTTCAGGACATGTTTGCTTTTCCTTGACTTTTCAGATTAAGATTTTCAGTATATCAAATATTGAAATTGCTGTGGTTCAGCTTCTAAAAGGACCGAAGTAAAACGTGTTTTTTTGGAGGCGTCTTACATACCATTCCTTCATAAGTTCGGATTCCCCGATTATGAAGGAACTCCAAATGCAGTTTTATACAGTTTAGTGTCTTTTTTACTGAAAGTACACGTTGGAAAAGCTCACAAGATTTTAGAAACCGCCTCTTGATCCACTATGATTCTCAAATCGGCTAAAATCATTTAATGTACACTCGAAGCAACTATAGTTTGCCCCCGCTTCAATTATTGATATGTGAGATACTTCAGTATTCGTTTGCTCAGGTGTTAACTTGTATTCTGAGACATGTGATATCTCGTGTGGTATACAAAGAAAATCTTTTGTCAGCCAAACATAATAGTAAAAGCCAAATCGCTTCAAAGAAATGTTTAATGCTCTCCCCCTTCCTTGTAACTGTTTTTCTTGACCATGCATTCTACCACTGCAGACACTTCTTGTCGGACAAGAAAGATTCGTGTTCTGTGTCTACATGGATTCCGCACAAATGTCCAAGTCATGGAACATCAGACGCGTGGATTACGAAAGGCATTGGGCCCAAACGCCGACTTCTTCTATTTCAACGGACCATTTGAAGCGCGTGGACAATCCGACGAGGCTATTGAGCGCGCATTTGGTAGCACCGCGCCGTTTTATGAGTGGTGGAATACGCGTAGTTTAGAAAATTTTGAGCTCGACGACATTCAGGGGGAAGGCTTTCGAGAAGGCACTACTTCGCATTGGCGTTACGAGTATGAAGACATTACTCAAGCTATTGAATACGTAAATCACAAACTGAACGAGCTTGGCGAGTTTGATATGGCTGTTGGTTTTTCACAGGGATCCACAATGTTGACGATCTTGTCCATGTGGTACCACAAGCATAGTACTAATCGATGGTGGAAACTTCTACTCAATGTTTGTGGTGTGTACCCAGGTGGTGTCAACGTAAGAGAACTTTTCGAAACGCAAGAGGGACATCCGATCATGGTACCGCTACCATCTATTCATGTCGTAGGACAAAAAGATTGTCTGTATAAAGACTCATTGCTGTTGAAAGATATGTTTATCGAACATCCCAAGGGTAGTTCGATCACGAGACTTCTTCTTGAGCACGATGGCGGACATAAATTTCCAACCTACAGTCGACACAAAGACTTGTACGCGAACTTGGCAAAAGCAATTTGGCAGTTTTTCGATGATACTTGTCAAAGCAATTTTGCAAGGCTTTAATTGAAGTCTTATAGTCTTGCCCATGTTTATGCTGAATATATAATACTTGAACTAAAATAGTATAGTAATGTATTCAGAAGCTAATAACTTACATGCGTAATTTATCTGAAATGTTACTTCATTTACCGAAGCTCAATGATGCTACAAACATTTAAATACAGAGAAGTCCGTTTTATTTTACGTGTCCCAGCGCATAAAACGAGTGGCGAGTCCAAGACACTATTTGACACTCTCGAAACTCCCCTCGCCTGCAGCATCACTATCACTTTTCTTCATTCATTCTAAGCTGCATTATGAATTTCTTATTTGCACATGGAGAGACACGAGGGTCGGAGGAGCAAGTTAAGAAATTTGAAGGACCTTTGTACTCAAAAACTGATGATTTGAACTTGGAGGCTTACGGGAAGGAGAGCATTCAAATTCTATTGAATCGCCACACAGGCGACGATAAAGTGACAACGTGGGAACTTGTGGATGAAGCGAATGGCATCAAAGTCTGGCGTGGTGTTGTGAAGGATTGTGACTGGTGTCCGTTTCGTGCAGAACGACGGATTAATGCTGACAAGCACTTGATTGAACGCATTTTGCTGGACCCTAATCGAACGCTTGAGCTTGATGAGATGATGGAGGGAGTTGTCACATTGCGCAATATAGGAGACTCCGACCGGCTTGCACTTCGTCAAATTACTAGCAAAGGGCAATTTCCTATCCACGGTCGCGAATTTGTGGTTGTCACGTATGCTACTACGCTCAACGACGGTCGCATTGTCATTGCTACGCGCTCGGTAAATTTAGCGGACGTGCCGCCGCTTAACGGTCACGTCCGTGCTCACAATCATATTTCGGGCTACATTATTCAGGAGTGTAAGGATAACAAGGGTAGCGTGTATTCAATTGTGACACTCGTTGCACACGCCGATTTGGCCGGGTACATTCCACCTAGCATCATCAACATGCTGGGCACGTCTTCGACGGTCAAGGTTCTTGCAAACTTAGAGACCATCGTGACGGCTAAGTAGATTTATATCATTAGTAGCTAGATCCATTTGTCGCAACATATCACTCGTGTTCCCGAGATTATATAAACGACATAAGCCTGCAAGGCGTCACTTTCTATAAGTGCCATAATCAAGTACTTCTTTGCTATTCGCATGATATAATAAACATTATATAATCGTTCTGCACATGATGACGCTCTATAGATTGCTTGATCTACGTTTCCCTCTAAGTCGATTTTTAATTACATAAAGAACGACAGCTGTGGGTTGGAAAAGTCAACAGTGTCCATCCTATCTGCTGAAATTACTACCACAGCAGAGCCTCTTCTAGCAGAGATTTCGGCCGTATTCGATCCGTTGTCATCAACTTCCGCATCAACAGTGTTTACGCATGTAGATAACGACCGGTTCGAATCCTGAGACTTGTCCTTCTCTGTAGTCTTGTCGTCACTGTCATGTGACTCGTCCGTTGACGAAGAGATAGACAACTTGGCCATACAATCAACTGCCGAATGTAAGCTCTGCCGTTTGTCCTTTTTTGTGTCGCTAACTCTGCTCTCCCTCGAAATGAAAAACTGTGCATCCTTTGATAAATTGTTCGCGCTACTGCTGCCGTAGTTATTTGTTACCTTAAACTTGACTGAAAGCTTTTTCGAGTGCCGATTATCTCGTGGCAGAAGTGACCACAATGAGCTTAATTTATCGGGTTTCTGTTCTTTCGTTTTCGTTAATTCATTATACTTTTCTCGCGAAATGTTGGCGACTTCGATCATAAACCCATCCTTGGCTTCGCGCTCGGCTGGATCAAAAATCGCGTCACCACGAGGTGCACAAACCGACACAATCACTTCTTGTGCGCTTGTAGTTGACACAACACCTCGACTTGGTTTGACAACGTAACCTGACTGATTTGATGTGCGTACCTTGAAAATAAGGTAGTTATCTTGACTTGCATTGACAACAAAAAAAGAAGTATTACCCCAATAACGCGGTGCAGGTTTCACGTCAAACGAAAGCACATCGCTTGGCTGAATATAATAATGGAGTGGGCTGAGCTGCTGAGTAGTGTCGCACGGTGCTCTTTCAGTAGATAGCGCAGTTAGCATTGTGTCGCTAACAGACTCATTGTCTTCAGTACATAGTCTCGTTTTCGAGTTCTTTGAAAACAAAGACGACACCTCCGCCTCTGATCTCCGGACTTTCGTAAAAGAGTCAATCGATGTCACAGTGTTCTTTGATGCTGAAGTTCTTGTACTCATGGACATCGGAAATTCAATCGTTGTATGAAAGCTGGCGTCACTATCAATCGATTGTTGACGGGGGCGACGCGCACATCGCTCATCCTTGGAGGGCTTCGTAAAATTGCTATAAGATTGATTAAGACTGCAGGCTTCGTTGTGATTTGATTTCGCACTAGTTTTTAAGCTATTACGCTGACTGAGAAAATGGTCTTGCGAACTAGTCTTGGCGCTAAACAAACTGCGTGTAAACATACTTTTGTCTTGCACGATGTTTGACCCAGAATTCACAAAGTGGTAGACCATCTTACTCTCGGTAATACAATCTTTTGGCACTTGCTTCCAAAGAGCACGTAGCGATGTGGTGGTGGTTGCTAGATGTTCCAAATGCCGCACTTTGTCCCCTAATTCCAGACTCTGGACAAGGAAGAGCTCGGATGACTCACCATTTAACACGTCACACAAGTTCATGGTACTAAGACGTTCACATGTTAGCGATGTAGCTGTCATAATTACTTGACAGCTAGCACCAGGAGTCAAAAGCCCGTGAGTTGGACGCACAGTAAACGCATCCGGATCACGAGTCCTTACACGAAAGACGACGTTGTGCACTGGTGACAGATTCGTAAGCTTGAGACTGGATTGTGGTCGCTGCAACGACGTGGAATGTGGAAGTAGAAATAAAAGCTCACGCGATGGCTCGAGCAGCAAACTCGAGTCAACGCCCACTGATGCTGTGATCATACTTTTCCAGTTCAAGAAATGACTTGAATTGAGAGATTTTGTGTAGAGAGTATACAATGAAACCTTCTGGTGTGTGTCACAAAATAGAAGAGCCACAAGTACCATGAGGGCTACATGTCATACCTCGAATGTACAGCAGCGTTTCTACAGCGGATTTCTGTCTCTATCACATATAGTTGTGATTGTGCTTTGGGTTCTTGCATTTGCTTTGCCTTTATTCCTGGCTCTAGGATCACGAGGTACATGCGAAAGTAGAAAAAATTAATTGATACGAAATTGATAATGTTTCTGCTCTGGAAGAATTTGTCCTGCAAACTAATTCGTATCAAGAACAGCCTGTCATCAAATCAATGAATCAAGTTCTCTGTATACTTGAAGGTGAACGAGCGAAGCAGCCGTTGACTCTAGTACACACGACTTTCCCAGAGCACATCCAAAGGCTTTTTATAAAAAAAAAAAACGAAAGCTTACAGGCTGCTCGAGTCAAGGTTGCTACATTTTTACTGTTTGTGTTGGATGTCAATCACATTTACTGTTCCTTGTTATGACGCAGACTTCTAGTATCGATGACAATTCAGACGGAATTGCTGAGTCAATTTGGATCGAGATCGCCATGCCGCTCTCGGTCAGCGATGTCATTCGACAAGCAACTGTAGTAGTTGTGCTTGATTACAAGCTGGAAGTACATTGGATGCTATCATGCTGAATGATTTCGCTGAAATTTTATCACGCAATGTTTGTTGTTCTTAGAACTACGCTAAGCTTAATATGGACGTGATGGTAGTATTCAGTCATTCTTCTCTGAATACAGGAGACACATTGGACATTGACGGCGATCTTGATCTACACCAACGAAATGCACTCAAGATCACCGATAGGTACGTCCAAATTTGTGCTATGAACTAAATTAATTACTCACAAGGCGCTTGTCCCGGCAGCATACAACAGCCATACATCACTTCGCCGATTGTAAACATGACAACGACAGACACAACGCAAGAACAGCTTGTGCAGTCTCTTTATAGCGAGTATCGAAAGCGAAATTGTACGTCGATTCAATCTAGAAGGTATAGATAGAGCTGACGAGTTGCTAAATGTGGTTGTTCAAAGATACCGCGTATTTGCACGTTCCATTTCCTGTTTGGAAAGTTGCCTCGAATACGTCAGAAGCCGAAAGAATGTTTCGAGTTAGCATGACTATCCGTAACGACAAAGTGAACGTCGTGTACGTCTTTCTTGCCGCTTTGTCTGTGTCTAGATTTATAATCACACTTTGTGTAGATACACTCCAGAGTGGCCAGAAATAGTAAAGCATGCTTGGATTCAGGTGAGCAAATTTTAGTCCAACGCCCATTTTTGTGTGATCTAATTTTTATAGTACTACTGCATCTTTATATTTGTTTCAACACTCATCTTTGCTATACGTGAGTATCTATTCAAGCACAAGGTTCGTGCACAGCATCATTACGTTTCTATCCATAATTTCCGACTTCTTTCTATGTATCATTCTTCAGCTACTCTCCAGCGTTTGCATCGTCGACGAAACTCGAAGAGGATTCAACAAGTACATATAGCAAGAAGGCGGATTTTGTTTAATAAATTAGTGAAAATTAATTGGATTTTTAATAAGTAGACTAATATTGAATATCTAACTTCATATTTATATTGTTATAAAAGTACTCGAATTAGACGATGAATAAGGAGAGCGAGCCAATGACCCAGGAAGAGGTCGACCTCGACAATCTTCTTGATGGTGATTATTCACTCACTATGTATCAAAGCAAGTGCAAGCTGTTAATTTTTTTTAACATTACAACCAGACGCATTAGATGACTTTGCGGACGAAGTGAAGGCCTCAGAAATGTCAAATGTCTTGAAGGAAGCCGACACTACGACAGCAGCAACGCAGGAAAGGGAAGATAACAAATTGGAGGAGGTATAAGTATAAATTCTCATGAAATTTATGTCGAACAAGTGACGATTCTTACCTATTTTATCCAGAATATGGCGAAAATCCTTGAAGACTCACAAAATCCCGAGTTCCAGAAAGTGTTGGAGCAGGCTTTTCGCGAACTGGGAACAAATGGTATTGGATATTCAAGTGTAGTGATAAAATACTAACATTTTCTGGTGTAGAGGATGCTGAAAATATTGAACAGCTATTAGGCTCATTGAAAACGGAAAACTTGCCGGATGAGTCGGATGATGTTCATGTTGGGGTGGCCAAGACGCTGCAGAATATGGCAAAAGTGGCGGAGGAAATGGAAGGTGTGGGTACGGCACAGGTAGAAGCTATGGGGGAGAATATGATGGCCGAGATGATGAAGAAGTTTGAGGAAATGGGGGATAAGGTCGGAAGGGATAGCAATACTTGAACGTTTGGATCATTCTGACACATGGTGTGTAGAGTGATTTTCAGGAATTAGTTGATGGAATGATGCAGCAGCTACTGTCAAAAGATGTGATGTATGATCCGATGAAGCAGATCTGCGAACGGGTACGCGAGACAATGGGTAATATGTGAAGAAAATCTAAAAGTTGCTACCTAACCTGCTGCCACAAGTATCCTGAGTGGCTAGCGGACAAGGAAATGTTATTAGAAAAAAAGGATTATGAACGGTGCGTATTGATTTTGTTTATTACTCGACTTTGAAGATTGGAAATTTTGAGGCCTTTGGACACAGATATGGCAAACAATATCAATACTTTCAGCGTATTGTAGCAACGTATGAGTCAGAGCCGGATAACTTTGCTCGATTATCAGAGCTCATGCAGGAAATGCAAGAGACCGGTCAACCTCCTTCAGAAATTATCAAAGACCTTGCTCCGGGTATAAACGCCACCGTGCTGAAATTTCCACGAGATTTATAGAGCGCTTACTTAAGCAATGTCTCGTTGTTTATAGGCCTGCAGTTCGACGATGAAGGAATGCCAATCATGCCCAATATGGTTCGTCTTGCAGCTCTCCTTGATTCAGTTTGTAATTTATTAATGTCGCGTTGTTCACTGCCGTATCGTGATGAATAACATTAGGGTCCCGGCATGTTCTCTGGTTTGGCTGGAGTGCCTGGCATGCCTTGTAAGTCCACATCGTGTTCATAGAAATGAATTAAGATTTGGAATTGCTTATCAGTATTGTTGGCTTAGTTGGTGGTACCCCAGGCCAAGAGCAGTGCTCTATCATGTAATCGTACAGAATTGCGCATAGTAAAGTTAGGTATTTTGGTCATAACAATGTTAGAAATTTGCTAAGCTTGCACTTCTTCAATCTTAATCCATGCGCCTTTTCATTGATAAGTGTAGACTTTTACTAGTGATGGAGCACCTGGACGCAATATCTTTTGGCGTCTTTTCGTTTCTTGAGGCTCATGAACGTGTTTCCCGAGTCGAAGCCGCGCCGCTTGTTGGAGCTACTCAATTGGAGCTTAAACTCTGGGAGCAGGTACGAATAAAAGTGGCGAACTGAAGTCAGAAACGAGGTCGCTTATTACCACTTTTGATCAGCAAAATCTCCCTCATAAGCTTCCAAAAGATATGCAGCACTTTTACATGCTTGTTAACGGACTGTCAGTGAAGTGGTTTGCACCATTTCGAGGTAATTTGTACGTCTCGACGAATATCAACTCTTTGTAATTCAGAAAATTGGATCGTATCTCTGCACAGGCGAAACAATATTAGTTGGACATTTTCTGCTAAATTCGCTTCAGAGCTTACAACGGATCTCAATTGCAAATTTTTTCTCACAATGTCGAGCTGCAGATCAGCATCGACTTGGTCTGGAAACGGTAAAGCTGAATTTAAGCAAGAAAATTGCGAGTGTGAAGTTTGTGACGATTTCCATTTAGTTCTACAACAACCTCGTTGGGTTCATCCTCGAATCCTCTTTGCAGTATGGCAATGTTGTTCTTCTCTATCTTCCAGGTATCGTGTCTTCTTTATAGCAAAGTCCAAAATACTTGCTTCGAAATCATGTTTTGGTAACAGAAGGTCCGCAAATTTGGTTTCAAGATATAAGAGGGAAGTGGAGCTTTCTTGCCGAGACGTTCAGCAATTATTATCGGATGATGCTCACCCATCTGGGCATCATATCCTGGCAGGTAAGCCTGAGATAAGCAGAGCGGAATCGCATTCATTCACCATATGTCGCGCTATTTGAACAGACCATCTTTTCCGAAAGTGGTGTTGACCCCATGCGAAAGGTAGCACGCACTTCTTCCCAAGTTCAAAACAACACATGCCTGACGTGAAAATTTCGTAGCCATGGCTTTATCTGTTCATTAAAAGTCGAATGCTCATAAATGAAGAGGCTTGCGATCAAAGTAGCTATGACAAATAACAAGATTGAACATGTAAATAATCAAAGCTGCTCGACAGCAATCAATGGTACATCATTATAAGATTAACACGCGTGCTCAGGATTATCGATTTCGCCATCATCTTCTAAGTAAAAGATGCTTTCATCTTTATACTTTAGCTTCCTGAAAGCTGCTTTTGAAATTGCCACAACTCTTCTCTTCACTTGTGAAAACGAAATGTCTACTACTTTTACAGGACTTTTCGATAATTCAGGGTGGTAAGGCTCACTACACAGTGATCATTAGAATGTAGTCAGTTTAATACATACAACATAAAGTCTTACATACCGTCTAAGTATGCCAACTTTGAGTATCACATCACATAGTTTATTCCCCTTTTGCTTCGATTGTGAGCCTTCCTCTTTCCGGCCGTTTACATGAATGCTCAAGATTTCGCAAACATCAAATAGTAGATAATGATCCGCAGCGCCACCAGATATATCCGCCATGACAAGCTCACCAGTGTATAACTTCAGCGTCGAGCTATAAAAACATGGATGTGTTACGATAAGCTCATTGAGAATTAAAGAACAAAATTAACTGCGTACGTACTTATCACTATCACCAATCGCAGCGGTGGCAGCTAACACATCGTCGCTACCAACGTGTTGTGGCTCAAAAGAAGAGTCCTCTGGATCCAAAATTTTCTAAGTTTTAGGACTCATCATTAGCTGTCAACATCAGCTATTCAAAACAGCAAATGTACCTGAAGAATCATACACTCAGTCACCCACTGAAAGTCCTTGACAGGAATATGGCGCTTTTTCTTGAAGTATCGACATGTCTTAAACAAAAAGAATAAGCAAAATACTGCAGAAGCGCATGTACAACAGCACTTACGGGTGTGTATTCGTCGCAAAGAACCATATCAATGTCGACATCTCTGTTTTTAGACAGATCCTGTATGACAAAACGGCCCAAAAATGTCAGACGGATGTCTGCCAGTTGATCATTACCAATTTTTACCTCGTACACCGCGTCTGCACCACACGCTTTTAATATAAACGCCATCAAATTAGCCTTGTCCTTTATATTGGACTTGGAAGTTAAAGAAACGTCACTGACAATGCCGAAGGAGAAGCCTTGAAAAATACACAGCTGGTAAAACAGACAAACACAAAGCATGTGTAATCATATTCGTACGGCGATCATTCTCAGCTAGTAAACACACTTTTTTTGGAGAATAACACTCAAACCTTCGAGTTGTAACGGAATAGCCAGTGGGCACTTGGTACCCTTCAAACGAAATCACGTGGTTAGAGTCGATACAATCTTTGATCCAGTCTGTATGCACCACTGGTATTCCACATGCTACAGCTTGCATAAACTTGCGTTTTCTCCATGAAACAGGTGTTGCAATCACGACAGCCTTTGAGTTGTCCTTGTATAGCACGTCTTGATAACGCTCAGGTACTTTTCCGCCATGACCTTCAATTAATTCCTTAAGACTTTCTTCGCTATTCTTGACGAATCCCGTTAAGCAAAACTCAAATTTGTACTTAAACAAAGTTCGCGATCTGGATGCATATGCACGCTGTGACGGGACTGGAGTTAACGTTCGAGTTCGAGTTCGAACATGTGAAGTTGATGACGGAGTTGACTGATTAGATCGAGAGCTTCGTCGAGCAGAAGGTCTTGGGGTTTGAGGGTCGCCGAGAGTCGACTCATTTGAAGGCGCAAGAGATCCCGGGGAATGATAGTCGCGCTTGCGTTTGTAACCTTTCGGGGTATAGGCCATCTGCTTTGAGGATTCAGAAAATCCATTAAAAGGTTTCTCTTTCTTTGCGTTTTCAGCTTCGTCTGAGAACATCAAAGATTCATTATTTTTTTTAACAATCAATTGCGTATCAAACGAAACGATCGGATTTTCCGGGTCCGAAGCTTTATTCACTGATGGTGGCGAAGGTTGATACACTGGGCTGATGGAAGACTCAAAAGGAATGAGTCGATTACCTTTAAAAATTGCTGTTACCCTTTTGGCTGCTGGCGTTCCTTCACTAGCGAGACTTGCACTAGTATGAGCTTTGTGGTCTTGTGACTCCGGCGCAGTAAAAGAAAATTCAAGGCTCCGAATCGCTCTTGTTTGAGGATCAACTTCGGCAATATCGTGATGAGTCATTTGATCGTCATTAATCTCAAGGTTTTCCCGAGAAGGCGAACTCGACTCTCCAACTATTTCACTTTCCGTCCCAATTTGAGCTGGTTGGGTTGGTACACATTCATCTTGTTCGTCTTCACACTCATCCGCTGAACCAGGTTTTCCTGGGCGATGTAAATTCACTCTTGGTGTCAAACAGTCTTGTGAAATATCATAACATGGAACCTCATCCTCACAATTTTGTTGACTATTCTTTTCAAGTAACATATCATGTTTTTTATGCATTTGATCGTGTCCAGAATCCTCCTTTTCGCTTGTCTTCTTGTCAACATCATCAATCAAGGAAGAGCAGGCTCCAAAAGGTAACGTTCCTGCATCTGAATATGGATACACTTCAGTCTCGACTTCACCATCGCTAACACGTTCATAGCTGCCCGTCATCTCGTCTTCTTCAAGCGTCTGTGTGCACTCAATCTCTTCATCATCCGTCTCTTTATTGCTATTATTCGCATCACATCGCTTCGTTACCTCACCCGAATCCCCATCATCGACTGACGTTGATATCGTTTCATGAAAAATTCTGGGAGCTAAATCTTCACTATATTCTGAATATTTGGTCAGCGAGTCTTCTCTTTCTTCCTTTCGAGCACTTGCACCTTCCCGTTTACGATCACGCCACGCCAGCTCCAACGACATCAACATTGTTGGCTGTGAACTATCAAAGTTATTTCTGAATTTCTTCATGTTTGACTGTACGAGTGGAACCTCCTTCTCCTCCTTCTCAATGGCGCTCTCTTCGTCCTGCGTGCTGTCGGCTAATAATTCATTAAAAAGATTATCAGTCGATCTGGAATTAAAGCGGAAACTTCCGCCTATCGTGTTTCTTTCTGTCGTCGCATCCAGATCCAACACGAGCTTCAGCGTCCGTTTCTTCTCCTTCACTTCCACTTGTTTAGAACGAGAAGGCACATGAAACCCTACAAACGCGCCAGGATCGGCGCTGCATTGTTGCGACTCAACAAAATTGTCATTTGGTAGCTGTAATGGACTGTCGGGTCGGGGAAATGACACGTCCGACAGTTCGCACCTGTCTGTCGGGCGTGGTGACTCCATTGTCTTGCCTTGTCGTTTCTAAACCAATTTAGAAATGCGCGCTATTGCGAAATTTCTTGTTGTAAATTATTTTAGAATTAGACTGACAAATTGTAAAAGGGAAAAATCAATAAATGGTTGCGTAGAGTAATGGTCACTCTGTTGAAGTTAAGATATATCTACATATTGATTAGATTTGCGACGTTGGATGCACGAGCTTTAAGAGTGGTGCCTGCAGATTTTGTGGTATAGCCTCGATAGTGACATAAGGAACTGGCTGTATTCGCTGCGAGCTTAAAGGCAAAGCGCACACTTTGCAATGGGGTAAGTTCGTAACACTATTGTCACTATTTCCATCAGAAACGCAAAAGTAGCCAAGTCAAGTAGCATGATAAAGTTGTGATGGGTAAGGAGGTGCTCGTGGAACATGTGGCCACGCAGTGCAGTACATATGAGTTTCTTATTGCGCATAGTAGAACTAGATATTTGGCGCTCGTTTAAACAAAACGGCCCATCTCAGCGACATCACTTAATGGTGAGGATACAACCAAGCTTGCTTTTTCTTGACAGAATATTTTGCCATCCTCGGTGGTAATCCTTAGCAACCTTTCCTAGATTTTATGTACAAAATTAGTTATCTGCAGTGCTGGCCATTGGAAGACAGATGATCCAACAGAATGTGGTAATCACGAGGTGGAGTATTTTTCCGAAGCTTTTACTTGGAGAGACCGCAGCGCTGGAGCAAAACACCCCTACCCATTGATTTGCAATGCATAACACAGTGCGCATCTCTACACCCTTTATTCTTTTTTAATATTCATTTCCGTGTTCTTTTGACTCCACCACGAAATGGCTTTGGTCTTGGTGGGTAGGGGTTGTTGATACAATTTGATTTGCTTGTATAAGTCTGACAACACTTTATTGCGAAAAACGATGTTTTTTATCTCGATGAGATTGAGCGACGTGCGTCGAGTTTGAGACGCTATGGTAGAGAGCCAGGATATACGAAAGCTAGATGCAGCTGTCAGAGGCAGACAAAATAATCACAAATTTGCTTTGGGTAAATAAAATATATTTTACGATCTTTTTTGCAAATGCAGGTACTGCATGCCTCGAGATTTTCCAGATGACTATTCTTTGGGTGACGACTTCTGACAAAAGTGGCGAAAACTATCCTGCTGAATTATCGCACTACCCGTCTCACGGCTTAACAAACCAGACAAACGTCCGAGCAAAGAGCAATTAATCTTTTACTTTGTGTGAGAAATACAAGAATCAAGACGTGGGCGTCAAGGTGGTCGCTGTATAGACCACTGCTTAATCCCATAAGACAGGAGTCATAGTTATCGACCAAGTTCTAGGCTTGAAATAAGGTCGGACCCCACCCGCTAAAAGAAAGCACATCACGCAGTGCGGCCCTGTTTTTTCTCATGAGAAGACAAAGACTGAGGGTACACCAGGTCATCAGAGTCAACGTTGCCAGGGCAACGTTGCCGAAGTGGGATATCAACCTCCCGTGAGTTTTCGGAGCGAGGGTACCCTACCCGATATACTGACAACAGCCCTAGTCAGCTCGCCGACTATCAGGAAGCAGACCAGCCTTTGCCCATTAAGTGGTGCTAGATGGTTTGTGAGAGTGAGATCGTGGTATGGACTTAGCAAGATTACATCAACATAAGATGTGTTACATTATCTTCTGAATGTCATGCGTATAAATCAATCTGTTTTTGCCACGACCATGACCGGTTCGATGTAGCTTGACCAAAGCTTAGCCTTATGAAATGCAGACGCTGCACGGGTAGGGAGATCAGCAACGTTTGATAAAATTTTACACAACTACATATTCATGTGCGTTTTGTCTACATATGGCGTTGTCGTTTTGATGTTACGCAACCTAGCGATCATATATGCTCGCTTGGCGTTACGCTCCCAATCTTGATGAGACTGAATGCGTGATCTGCTTCATAGCGCGCAGAGACTGCAGTGATGTAACGAATGCTGCTCTCACTCGTTTCAGTTTGCGCTACAAAACACAGTCCATGTTTCCACAGCTTCACCACTCCATTTATAAATGCTTCGGTTAAGCCTTGTGCTCCTTCGATATCACCACGAAGTGGCTCCCATTTGACAGTTTTACTCGCTAATATCATCCGACAAATATCTCATACGACCGATTTAATTTCCCCTCTTTTGGTCGTCTGTATGCGGATGGTCAGCGGTGAACATAACCAGCTTTAAGCCTAACCCCCCACAAGATTTTGCCAAGATTTGGCTGTAAATCGCGGATCTTAATCCAGCGCCATGACATCAGCAAACGAGATTAGCAAAAGACTTGGTCGAGGAACACCTTGAGTGTGTCCTCACCGGTGACAGTGTAGCTGGCAGCACTGCCAGTATGCTCAGATGACCACCATAACCATAATTCCAGCATTACTTCCGAACGTGCCTTCAAAAGACCAGAAATTACGTTTTTGTAATATACTGCCGGCATTCTGCTGATGAGAACCTCAAGATCTAAATATTTTTCTAGGCACTTGATTATCCGCCTCGGAAGAAAAACGACATACTGTTAATTTGACGCTATCTATCGGTGGCCTCATACGGCTAATTGAGTTTGCACTTGTGTGCGCACGCGCAAACGGTGTCAAGAAGCCGAGCCTTTGCCGCATGCATCGGTGGCTTTAACCAAGAGATATACAACGCGTCGAATATCAATTGTGATATATTTAGCCGAATGGCAGTGCAAGCTTGCAGCTAAACGCCAATATGTAGCGACGTTCGAGTAAATGTACCACATAATGTTGCTGGCCCACATACTGACCGTATTGCCTCATCAACGTGCAACTTTTCATGGTGACATATGACAGTGTATAATCTTGACGACTTGAAGCACATCAGCCGCCACTATTAGCCGATTCGGCTACTACCTTTCCTGGAGGGTACAATTGGCAAAGAGAATAACATATCTTGCCTTTTTTGAACGAATGATGTGGTGACAGATTTGCTCGGCACAACGACGCATGATCTGTTGATATGAACGTGTTATTACTCGCCAAGTAGGCGTACGTCAAAATTGACAAGAGCATACTTCAGAGCTAGTAGCTCCTTGTTACAAACTTAATAGCTCTTAATCTGTCGCTGCTAACAGACGAGATTCAAGCGTTCATGCCCGTCAACATTAGCATGGAGTAAAGTGCGACTTATAGCAAAAGCTGAAGCGTCATATACGACATCGATTTGTCAATCTGGGGGGAAAAGGACGCTCAAATTTAAAATTTTGCCGCTTGGAAGATCGCCTTAACTGAATCCAAAACGAGTTGACATTCCTTTCATAAAGAGTCGTGCGGAGCAGGTAATGTTGGCTGATGTACTCTATACATGTGCAAGAAGTTTTAATACAATGCCACTTCCGACAGAACCTCTTCAATGATTGCGTCGCTCAGTTCAAGGTTGTCTTCAACTTTGCAAAATCTGCCAGCAGACCATACCACCTAACGAAACATTCAAAGATGAAATCCTTCATATCATGTGGCTTATTGTCGTGAACTGACATGTTTTCACTTTTTGTTTATTCCGGCGGGAGTTAAGATGATGAACCATTTGCATTTCGACATCTGATTAAAAGCTTACGACAATCGTCGAAGCATCACAGACAGGATGAATGCTTCTTATAGATTTGGACGACCAGATTCGGAGCACACGAAAAACATATTCCTACAGCCTTATAGACCTTTTCTTCCACCGCACCATGTTTAAGAAGAGTAATGAGTGCGTGTCATGGCGACGTGATTTGCACTACATTTGCGCAAAAAGTATGTCAGCCCAAGCCAAATCCTTATGGCTTTTTAAGACAATAGCACGGCTATTCTACGATAGTCTTGAGATTATCCTCCAGATGTCGGCGCCAAAGACCAAATTTATTTTCGTTGGTGAGCAAACTATTTCAGTAAGAAATAATTTTGTGCTCACAAGTGATGATGCGGATGTCCACGTCCGCTTCCTAGAGCTCTGCACCAATACGGACAATCATCTCACTGAAATAGGTTTACCCGCAACCATGATTCGAGCTACGTAGGCGGTTGAATGCCGATAGTGTATTTGACAGTGCTCTCCTTGACACATAACCAGCCACTCCCAGATAGACAGCTGAGATTTGTCGAAGTAATTCTTTCTCTTACGAGCAGTTGACATCAACAAGTAAAAAAGTCAAGAGCACTGAACATGGTGCAACTGACTACGATGTTCTAGGCACATCTTGAAACCAAAGCTTGCAGTAGTCTCGTGATGGTATTGATCTTATCATTAGCTCGTCATCTTCACAACTAACCGTCCCTTATGCTTTCGACGCCATTCATCCACACCTGTCATGTTGTTGGTTGTTCTGACGTAGAAAGTTGACGCCGTTTGGGGTCCTTGTGAGCAATCATCCTACTCCTTGTACACAGCCCTCAGCGAATACAGACAAATGATGAGATCGGCATCTCTTCTGAAACAATACCATCTTGAAACGCTTTGCCTACATTCTATGGGCACAATTTCTTAGGCTAGATGAGAGGTGATACAATCTTAGAAGTCTATCAATCTCACCATTTACGGATATATAAACGTCTGCACCACAAACGGTAAAGCAGTGCTTCTCAACACAGTGGAAGCGTTACACACGAGTGCCACCTCAGCAGATCCGGTCTGCATAACAACGATAAGCCACCCTGAAAATTTCAGGGTTTGCCCCTTCAACTTGCGACTTACAGTCGCCCGTGTTCATCGACTCAGGCGCAGAAGATGGCCATCCGTAGGTTTACACTTCTCTACGATTCTGACTGAGAAATCCACAGCATTAATCTGTAAGTGTTACTAAACAACTTAACTGGAATATACTTGACAAGCTTTGGCATATTGTTGCTCACTCCTGTCTCTGCAGATATACACATGAAGAACGCAATATAAGGCTGGTTTTTGCTGTATCATTCTGAGACCACGACTCACTGCCGCTACTACCTCTCAAAAGTCACTCAAGATAAAGCAGCATCGTTGCTCATCAGTTACAACCATCCCATACCCTGCATCAAAGTTATCTCAGCTTCATACTTGCGCCAGAAGCGCCTCTGCTTCCCAGTAGATATGGTTTACGACTCACCAAGGCTTCACTTGCAGAAATGTTGGTTGGATTCAAAAAGATACCTATCAGTCTGTTCGTTGTTCATGACACTCAAGGCAAGCTATATCGAGGACGAAATTGCACTATGGATCTCGATTTAGGGCCGGACAAAGTTAAACGCTGCTAAATATCGCAGGTTTTACAAGAAGGTCAATAATACTCTCGACAAGAGCCCCTTTGTATGACTCGCAATAAACGTATCGCATCTGGTATCTAAAATACCGCGTGCTCTTTCTTACAGTCCGCATAGTCGGTAATGCCACGGCGCCACTGGAAGAATTAAATTTTTTACAGTTACAGAGTGCAGATAGTCGAATTTGTCAGTCATTAATTCTAAGCTGTTTTTCAAAAAGAGGTTCTAGGCTCCAGTAACCTCGAATATTACGAAGTTTAAAAGGGCCGAATTCTCTTCAGTAAATCATCCCAAGCCTCCGAGACTCGGAATTTAAAGTGTTTGTCTGTCGACTTTGCGTGGGTGCCCAACTTTCGAACGAGAAAGTACAGAGAGCGCAAGGCACAGGAGTTTGGTGTTATCACATCTGTAACAAATACGACTTCGACAATAGTGGAGGCATTACCCTCTATCTCCCCGGCCAAGCTGATATTGATCTTTTCTGGCGCACTATTAGAGCTTTCACCTTCCACACCCCATCCATCTCACGCGACTCGAAAGTCGTACTCTGCATCCATCGTATCCTTGTAATGGGTTGTGTGGATCGGAAAGGTTTTGGTGTGAGCCGCAAGAAAAAAAAGAGGGTACCGCCGGGAAAGTTGTTTTGCCACCATCTTATCAGAGAGGCCACAATTTCGAACATAACTTGTTATTTTATTCTACCTAGACGGTTGGACAAGAACGCACACGGTTGGATGGTGCGTAAACCCGCGACATCTGTCCCTTTGACACGACCAACGTCCGGAATGCCTATTCTACTGAAGTACTGCGCATGAACATCTTTGCTTGCGCACATCCTTTCAGGATGAAAGGCGTTCTTCCTTAATCAGAAGCGTGGCCAGCTTCACGTCTTGTCAGCTTTTTCCTCCGAATTTTTTTTCCTTGTCTCAGTCCTCAGAAAGCGGTAAAATTTATATAAGCGGCCTCCACATATAAGGCCCATCGTGCCTCTACTGACTTCTGGACATAACATTCTTACGGGCGCCTTTTCGAAGCTGGTAAACGAGTATTATCGCTTCCGTCCCTTTGATCGTCAATTGTCTTGTCCCTCCAAACTTGCAACAGACAGAAGCCTACTAAGCATGTCAAGATGTGTCGAAGATGGAAATTCTAACTGCCGTGTTCCATTCACACATAACTAGCAGTCTTGTAAGACTCAGTCGTCATATTGATACTAGTTCTACCAAGTGTGACGGATTTGCCATGTACGTTGCGCAGAAGAAGCTTTGTTTTAACGAATCCGCGTAAACAAACGCACAGATAATGGTTTGTGCACTTCACCTGGCAGCATAATCGGGAGCAGTCGAAGTAAAAAGGTACTTGTTTCTCTCATCCCTTTCATTACCGACATATCTGGTATTATCAAACTTTAAGTAGTGCGATATATATCTTTATGATCAGTAATGTAATTATATATGCTGCATGCCGTAAGGATAGTGTCTTACGTGCTCCATAAATCGCTTCCTTTATGGTGTATCATCGCCCTGATCAGTACTTGTACTTTGTTTTTTAATTTTGCAAAATAGTGTAATGGGAACGTTTACCATAATGATTCCCATTACTACTAGCTATTGTTAGCTCGAGGGCAGCAACAATATTTCGAGAAAGTTACGATGCCTCAAGCCACTCCACACGATGACTCAACTCAACGAGCGCATAAAAATACTCATCCCGGAAGCGGCAAACTAGGCGTTTCCACGTGTTCAACCGCAGAATACAACAATGAATTCTGTATACCAAAACGATGAACACGCAATCTTGTGCGAGACGGAAGACTTTGCAGCACTTTGTCGGAAGGGTCCTTGAAATACCTCAACAAGTCCAGCCTTATCAGACTCGTACCTTTCGACAATTTCTTCGCGCTCTGTAGTCGTTGCTTGCTCTCTGGACGTCTCGACAACGCATCGGCTTAGATGTTTGTCTTGCCTGACTTGTCGTGTACAACAAAGTTGTACCCCGGTGAGATTTCTCTAGTGCCAAAGCCGCTTAGCATTTAGCTAAATTCCTCCCTTTACCTCACAAAAAGGCTAGTCAAGATAGAGTAGAGCCACGCACTTCCTTCCAGCGAGTTATGACTGACCTTATTTCAGATTTGAGACTTGACCGGTATTTAAACCAGCAAACTCAGCAGTGACATCTAGAACTTGATGTGGTAAGCATCCACGTTGAAGTCCACATCGTGTTTTGTGCCTCGCAAAGTTAAGCTTTGAGCGACTTTCCAGTATGCCTACCGCTTCACCGAATATAACTCAAAAGACTGTAATACGGTTCGGAAAACAAGTCGTTCTCGCCCACTTCGCTGATAAAGTAGAGTATTCCTCGACATTTCTGCCAGCGTCTGGTACCAAAGTTACTGTCTTTATCAGGGCTACATATCTTAACAAATACAGCTGCTCTCAGAGCACGTTGTAATCCTGAAAAGCGGTTGACCTAAGGTGGGAAGCGACGTAATTTTGATCTCTGTTTGAGCGGAAGGCCTGCGCGTATAGACCCCACCACGGTGCGGAGAGCAACTTTTGATAGGTTGTATCCATACTCACAACATGTTTCAGCGCGCACAAGTTGTTGCAACTCTTGCGCTTGCGAACGGTCGAGATCGGCTTGCTGAACCAGGTCCGGCTATTTGTAATGAGTAAGACATCATTGTGAGTTCTGCCGCGGGCGTCGTATCAATACCCGTCATTTGTAATGCGCATTGGTGTAGAGGACAGACCAAAACTTGGAGTTCTTTGTCCTGGTCAACGACTATGTCGTGCTTCTCTTGCAGAATGCAAAGACGCCGGATAAAAATTCGGAGAGTGACGGTAACCGCTCTTGTCAAAGAACACCTCAACCGCCTCAACGAGAATGGCTCGCGGGCTGTTGGCAGCAGAGGTATTGGCAATGTGGGAATGCTAGGTATCCAAACGATGTTGATAAAGAGTAGGCACTGCCAGTACAATGGGGGAGAAAATGTTAAGCTTAAACGGCACACGTAGAGCGTTTATTCTTGCGCGACGTTGTGAAAATGATCGCTCCGTCATGGTCACAGACAATTTGGCGGAGGAAGGTGTGATGGGGTACGTACCGTACGTAATATTGTCACTTTTTCTCCCGGGCCTAGAGCCAAGGTCAGAAGTACTATATTGTACTACTGAGATCAAGTATCTTGTACAGATGAATTTGACACGAACCCGTAACGAATTTCGTAGCCTACGCTATGTGGTTTATTACTGTAAATAGTAATTAGACATATTTAGTATCAAATTGAGTGTCAATGTTGATATTAGAGTATGAGAGGCAATGATTTCAGCGCCTTGGTGGCGCCTGATGAAGCATAAGTCTAGTAGCCCGGGCCCTTAGAACTACGTCTCTAAAGTATCGCATTACTTCTGTATGTGCCAATGCTGATTACAGTACTTCATCATTATGGTATTTTAGAGCTCGTTCTAAGACTGTATGACAACAGTGACAACAGAATTATGTGAATATACTCAGCACCCGTTACATAATTGTCGCTCTAATTGACGATCACAACGTTAGTAGCTAGCGCTTTCCAAATAGAAGAACAATGATATTATAAAAATGCAATCTATTCTGGCAGATACGTGAAATTCCCAAATTGACAGTTAAAATAGCATTCAGGAGATAAACGTCAATAAAGACTGCTCAAACATGACGTCACGTGATCATTACACATTCCAAGAATCTGCTCTCTGCAAACGTTCATTTAGTGCTCGGAATAGTGATGCTGGAAATAGGCCTGTTACCGGCTTAAGCCGGTGACATTTGTTTTGTTGTTGTAGAAGAGAAGAGTTTTTCGCTTTTGCAAGGTGACTATATGATATTTAGTAAAGTGTGTTTTCGAATTTCACGGTCTGATTATGTGATAAAAAAAATGAGCGATATCAAGGCTCAGCGATATTGCAGACCTACCTGCTGTCGAATAGTACATACTTGATACAAGACACAAGCATATTTGGCACTGAGAACTAAATACTAGGTGGATACCATCATGAGATACGAGGTCGTAATTATTTTAAGCTTATAGCGTTTTGCACCAATTCTTCTTAGCATCTTTTCACCTACATTTAATCTAAGTTTTAAAGCAATTGCTGTATGAAAATGACATGGTAATATCCTTTTTATTAATCGAGCAATGCATGTTTTCGCCATAAGTATGAATCAGACAATCTAAAACTACTGACGTAAAGGTGGTCGTCAATATCCATCCGTTGCTAAACAACTAACTGTCAATGAGTTTCGCGATACCTTTCGATGGTCATGAGTCTTGCGTCCACACCAGATGATATAGTGACTTGATGAGATCGAGCGAGTTCACTTGGATAGATTTCCCGCTCTTGTAGGCTTTTTTTCGTCAATGGCGATTCTGTTATTCCCAGTCTTTACTGTCCCCTCAACAATCTTGTCGTGATGGCGCAAGCGACATTCTTAGCGTTTACGACAGCGAGAATGATTGGCTTACCATGTAGCACGTTAATGTCATCAGCCGCATAAGCCGATTTTACATTTGCACAGAGAGCGACTGCAACTGCTATAATTGTGTAGCGGCCCAAGGGTCATGATTGAAATGATTAACCGAACCAGTAGAAACTATTTATCAGACAATAGAGTGGCCCTAGAAACAGTGATGAACTATAGGGATCGGGAGTAAATTGCAATGCACGGAATCGTAAACGTATCTGGTATTTTACATCTATCACAGAAAATTCGAAGACTTCGCTGAAGTATGTCAACTCATCTGGCCGGTAGATGCCAGTTCTTACCGGTGTGAACCGGCTTGTCTGAGTTATTTTCGAATGTAGCACCATCCCAGAAGTAATGCAGGCGATTATACAACGTGGACAGAGCGCAATGTTAGGCAGTATCGAGGTTCTTGCTGATCGGTTAGTAATTATTCTGAAATTTAGTGTGGCGGATCGTGAAGATTAACTAAGAACATTCGGGAAGGTTCAGGATTGGAGGCAGTTAATAGATTTGAGGTAGTAAATAGATTTGAAATTCATAAACCTAGGACCTGATTTGATTCTACCAACCAGTGCTCAAGAACCTTTTTTTTATGTTGCTGATTGACCTTTTTCTGTTTGATTCAATAAATAAAGGTAAAGACTATAGAAACTACATTTTATATACTACATACGAGATATCTGATGATAAACACTGATATGTACTAAATACTTTTCGTTTCCGTGTTCCACATTGCAATTTACTCCCGGTCTCTACAGTCCATCACTGGTTCCAGGGCCACTCTTCTGTCTGATAACTAAATTTTACTGATTCGGCATCTCATTCCAATCATGACCCTCGGCCGCTACACAATTATAGCAGCTGCAGTCGCGCTCTGTGCAAATGTAAAATCGGCTAATGCAACCGATGACTTTAATGTGCTGCATGGACAGCCAACCATTCCTGCTGCCTTGAATGCTGAGGATGCCGCTCGCGCCATCACGACAAGACTGTTGAGGGGATCAAATAAGACTGCGAAAAGCAAAACTGCCTTTGACGAAATCCTGGAAGAGCGTGGAATCTATCCAAGTGAACTCGCTCGATCTCATCAAGTCGCTATATCATCTGGTGGTGGAGGCAAGACTCATGACCATCGAAAGGTACCGCAAAACACATAGTTTCATTTGTAGACAATGGTCTAGCAATGATTTGATATTCACGAACACTTTTGGCTGACTCATCCTCATGGCGAAAATAGCAATTGCTCGATTAATATAAAGGATTTTATCATGTCATTTTCACATAGCAATTGCTTTTAGTACGTATTGTTTACTATCAAGTCTTCTCGTATAATTTGGATTAGACGTAGGTGAAAAGAGGCTAAAAGGAATATTTGGTATGTTGTTATATCTGGCTTTTGTGACTATCTTATTACTACATGATATTGTCTAAGGAGTGATTTTAAGTTTCACTGTCTGATTATTATAAGTGCTTTCTTGCTGGATTTTGAGTTTACTTTTTCTAAATACGAGTATACATGAGGCTAGGCGCTTATTGCAGACCTACCTGAACACTACAGATCGTACTTATCGTAAGCTAATAGCGTTTTGCACCGTATTTTCAGAGCTGTGCTTTTAGTTTAGCGAATAGTAGAGTGTGCATTGTCTAACTTTCATCTGAAGGGCTGTCATAGATGAAAATCTTCACATGTCCAGTTCAGAATTTGGTAACTTCATCCTAAAAATGGGTCGGTTTGGAAATGGTATACTTCACCACTTCGTCCCCGCCGTCTCCACCCCTGCCCAAGCAACATGTCAGTCTCAGCAACAACAAGAAGCGCTTACCGTCTCTTTGTCGCTTTCGTTACCTCCGCCGTGCACGCCGTCCCGGTTTTCATGCGCTCCGACGTTTCTTCAAGCACAACTGCCCGTGCCCGATTCCGTCAGTTGAAGTCCGTACTCCTTGCCTTTGTCACGGTTTCCCGCCGTTTGATGTAAGGAAGCGCTTATATAGGTTGTAAGTCTGCTTAGCAGCTAACCTCTAGAAACAGTCGTGTGGACGATTGGTCGGATGACGGATGGATAAACGGCTGATAATTGTCTTCTCGTAAAAGCTGCCAACCTCCCAGAGCAGGTCAAATTTGTGGACAATCTCAACCTCCCAAGACAGATTGCAGGATTTATTGCTTTTCGATACGGATATCCTTCTGCTGGGTAATTCACGAGAATTGCCATCTGATCCGACCCTTCAGTTGATGACCCGTGTCAACATAAAGAAGGATAGTCAAACGAAATCTGATTTAAAATGACTGAAGAATTACACTTGCACCTTCGTTCGTGACCTCCACAAAGCACGTCAAGACCTGATCGAAACATTGTCAAAGGCTCGTTGCATCTGTAAAGTACTACAACATCATAGCAAGAGTTCACGAACAAAAGACGCAACATGAACAGAGCATGTGAAGTAAAACAGTGGATATGATGATACACACGCTTCAAGAACAACGAAGTATGATGCAACAACGAATGCAAATGCACCAAGATATCATGAAAGCAATGCATCTCAAAACTCGAGAGAACGCTGCTTCGCGTGAGCTACCCGTCGAAGGAATATCCGCTCAAAATTCGACGGTAAAGGTGACGTCGTCGTTTTCTTCTTTGCGCCAAGCTATAAGCGTCAAAGAGCATTTTGTACGACGACGCATCACAAGAGCGACTGTTGGCAATTCTTCTACAAAGTCTGACTGGCTCCGCAGCAGCAGAGCTCACTATCGAATACAAGGATATACATTAAATTTATGTCAAAACTTTAGACAAATATATAGGTGAGTCCGTCGGATTGTCTGGAAGGTTCGAAAGATTTCCAAATTGAAGAGGTAACACATTTTCATCAAGGCTTGAATTACCAAAATCTGCGACGAAGTCAAATTGAGACAATTGCGTTCGACAACTGAGGCCATCAGCTTTACTCAGAGCTACAGTCGTACACACATGTGCCCTCGCGACATGGAAAACAAAACAACGCATCTTTTGTCCCACGAAACAATTTTAATTTGAGACCGGTGGACCAACGCCGATGAAAATAGGCAGTGTTCAAATGATCTCGAAGAGTGTCGCAAGCGTCAGCAAAAAATCAATATAATGATGTAACGCCGAACAAATTTCGGGCGAACAACGAGGCCAGACAATTCAGCATCTTCATCGGTGAATGTGCACGAGACTACGCATATGTCGTTGCTCAAGGCAAAGAACTAAATCCAGATCGACTACAGAAAAGTATTCGCTCCGAGTTTTTGGATCAACAACACACCTGATACCGACCGTAACATTTTCCGACGTGGTATTGCCAATAAAAAAATAGCACAACGAAAGTGTGGACCGAACATTTTGACGATACAAGTACGCTAGTACGCAAAGCCTTTTTGAAACAATCAAGTTTGAACAAATATAAACTAAACTTGTGAACTTGTCGGAAAAGATGTTATCAGAAAAATGTGAAATTATATGCGGAAGTTCACGGCTTTGCAAGGTGAATTCGGTCATCGATTGGAAAGAAAAATACTCAATCTCGTTTTAAGCCCAGCAATAGATACCCCTTTTTTCGTCAAAGCCAATTAGAGTCGTTCGATATGAATGTTCAGAATGGAAGCTATGCAGAAGTGCACAATATGAGCTTTTCAAATAGAAAGCAATAAAATCAGAGATAAAGAATTCTGAAACATCTCTGGATTTTGTCGACAGTGACTCCATCTCCGATTTTTCTTGTACAACTTTTGCTGAAATTGAGTGTTGAAGCATGTGGAGCAACGCAAAGTCGGCATAATATTTTACAGATTCATTCTCTGAGCTTTGACCCCGTCGAATCATAGAAAGCAGTTGTTTATGTTGCTCCTTACCCCGCAATTCGCCAAGTACCATTACTAAGTATCAGGAGTCGTACTGATTCGAAGAAGTTTACATGACCCCGTAACGAACTCCTTGGACACATGGCCAGTCAGCCTTACGCTACGTATAATACAGAAATTATTACTGGCGATGATAATCAGATGTCTTCAGTGTCAATTTCAGATCGACTTGAGAGCCAATATGTCACTGTTGAGATTAGAGTAAAACAAAGTACTTGTGACATGAGAGACTTTGAGTTTAGAGCCTTTGAGCCGCCATATGAAATATGAGGCTAGCAGCACATGTGTAGCAGTGGAAGGTGAGTCTTGATGTCTTAAGTGGAAAAAGCAGGGTGACATTGATCATATCATGACTTGGCTCTACATGTAAACGTCTAATCTGATGTTTCTTTGTAGTTACGTCTATATACTCTCATAGACCCTTTGCTGCTCACTATCTACGTTTTGGTGACAGAAATAGTAGCAACGTCGGCAATCAACTAAGCGCAATCGCTACAGTATTCCTGGAAAAAGCGAGAATCGGTAGTGCGACTACTAGTGTTGTGTGGGTGGATTGTCTAGGATTCTTTCGCTCACAAAGAGACTCGGCTGTCACTTTGTAGTTGACAGAGATCAGCCAGTAGAGACTACCGATGATTGACATGCTTCATTTTTTTTTTAAGTTCTATGAGTTCTTGTGATCGGGGAGTCCATATTATTTGTATCAGGCTTGCGGTTGAAAATACGCTTGCGTACCGGAACTACTATGATGTGTAGCTTTTCGCCGCATTGGTCGAAGACTACAGATCTTGATACTGGAATCGAGTTGACATCGAGGCAATAATTACTCTTGGAGTAAGCGGATTGCGATCCGCTAACTCATACTTGGTTCTTGTAGAGAACGAAAGGTCGGTGACCTAAAGTACGCTGCCTCAAGCGTTTTGCTACGGCATCCCCGCTGCACTTGGTAGCACTTGTAATTATTCTCCACCTCAGTCATTTAGCCTGATCCTCGGTGAGGATGAAGGAATTTTCCTCTTTGCCCCAGGACATGCAGGACGGGCTTAACAAGCTGATGTCCTTGCTTGGCCATGATGGCGTGCAACATCTTGTAGCACAAGGCCCCGAGGCAATCGGTGCGCGTCTAAAGGCGTTTCAAGTAGCAAAAACGCGCTGCTAGAGTACCTGCAGCAGACGATGTCTGCATCGTAAGTGTCTATGACGCCACCGTCGGTGACGGATGATTTCCCCCGACCTCAGCCGCTCATGGTGAGCGTTAAGGTCTTTGAGGGGAAGGATGGAGAGAATCTCCTGCT